ACTTGCTTTCAAGAGAGGAGACTAGGACTGTGAAATATAGATGTGAGTCATTTGCATAGAAATGATATTTGAAACCATGGGAGCTCATAAGATCACCAATTTTGACAGTACAGAGTGAAGAGGACCTGGGACAGAATCTTGAGTATACCGAGTTTGTAGGCATCACATATATGAAAATCCAGCAAGAAACTGAGAAGGGTCACTCAGGTAGGAGGAAATCCAAGAAAGAGCAGTCATACATACCCAGAGTGGGAGAATATCCAGGAGAAGGCAATCAAACAGTGTCAAAAATGCCGCAGAGAGGTCAAGAATAAGTATGAAGAGGGCATAAGATACATCAATTAAGAGACTGCTATAGGTAGGCAGCTAGCTGGTGCAGTGGATAGAGCCCTGGTTCTGGAGTCAGGAGGACCTGAGTTCAAATCTGAGGCAAGTCACTTAACCCCAACTGCCTCACCAAAAAAAAGGAGAGAGAGAGAGACTGCCACAACTTTGAAGAAAGCAAATCAGAGAGAAAGTGAAAACATTTATTGTAGATATATTTTAAATGACTTTGTTAAGGAATTTCACTGAAAAGGGGAGGATAAATAAAAGAGGATAGAATATTATTTGTATTTATCAATTTACATTTATCAATTACAGAATCTATATAATTTGCTTTTCCTCTAAAGACTCCCCAAAAGTCAGAATATCATATACCTCACTTGTTAAAGTTTTAATTAATTTAACAGCTGAAGATAAACATACAGAAAATAATTAGCACATCTAAAATCTCATTTCTACATCTAATCTCTTTACTAAATCATCATATAATATTAAAAATCTCACTGATACTAGCCAATAAAAGATGAATTTTAGGATTAACTCTACATGAAAAACAGAAACAAAGCCAGATATGGTTAGCATTTTCCAAACACAAATGTATTTGAAAAACTGATTTAAAGTCTCCGCTTAATTTTAACATTTTCTTGCTCACAAAGTATGACATCCCACATGCTTTACCTAAGAACTGCTCAGCATTTAAATTGCAACTGTATTCTACAAACGCTTTTCGAACAGAAAACTAAAACTATAATCCGCTAGCAAGCTCAAATGGCTTGTGTAGTGACCCCCAACTTTTCCCAATGGTTCAAACACTACCAACATTTATTCTTTCGGAGGGCAGAGTCAAGAGGGCAGAGTGAGAGGACGTATTTCTATCTAGTTCACCTAGTACATCTCATCAACAGCCTAGAAAACCCAACAGACTGAATTCTGATTAGGAAAGCCAAGAAAAAGTCACAATGAGGCATTTTTCTATTCCAGGGTAACTTAAGAAGACAGACAGAAAGGTCTTCAAACACTAAGGAAGGAGCTGGCCAGGAGTATACAGGAGTACAGGGAGCATTTCACGATTCAGGAGTGGAAAATGGACGAGACAGAGTACCAGGGCAGAAAGAGATCCCTGGAGACCCCCTGAACAAGTGCTGGGAGCAGGAATGGGTGCCATCTGGCAACTCTGTTGCCCATCTTCCAGGGTGCAGAGGAGCTGCCAAGAGCAAGTGGGGCCTTAACTGAATACTCTTTATTCTTTAGTTAGTATTCTGAAAATGTACAAGGACCTTATTTTCCAGAAATGTCCTGGCCTAAAATTTTAGTCATGCAGCTCCTCTCTGGAAATAAGCTAGCAAAATCAAACTTTTCTTTTGGGGGGGGGGGGTACAGGGCTGGCACAAAAAAAGGTTGCCAAGATATTGTCTAGCAATAGCTAGACAAGCTTTTCCTGATCCTAGCTGAGTCTGCCTAAGTTGAATAAGTTGGCAAGATAAAAGTATCATATAATCAAAGAATTATAAGAGTACCCCTTTTGTCTACAAGAGATACAGGTAAGTTACCACTTTCCTTTCAGTGGTTAAGTCTGGATAGTTTACTCAATCTTTAACACAGCCAGGAAAAGCAATGAGTCAGTTCAAAAATTACTCTAATAAAAACCACTTACTACATGGATATAAAAAGAGAAAGAAAAAGGAAAGGAAAAAAACTAAGAGATGCAATGTATTTCTTTGAATGGCCAGAGACTTACTTCACAGCATTACACCAGGAAAAGACATTTTTAAAACACAGGTTTACTAAAAACAGCTTTAACCGCTACACAGTGCACCTGTCACCTTCTCATCAAGGGCAACCCTTTATAGAGAGGCTCTTGCATTTAAGACTCAGTCCTGCTCAGATATACCATCATATTAAAGAGGAGAAAGACAGCAATAGTCTACCCAATGTAAATTAGGAGTAGCCTTCAGGCTCCTGGCTAGGTGCCAACATAGCCCCATGAGCAGACAAAATGTAGGCACCTCTGTCTTTCAGGTAATTTGTAGCTTCTAGCTCTTCCTGTCAAATTTCTCAAAAATTTAATTAACGAGTTTGACTTTAGTTTTGTTTCTTGTAAATGAAGTATTCTTAATTTGAGTAGGTTATAAAAATCCACATTAAAACCCTTTTTTCACACTTATTCTACATCTGTAGTAACCCAAATTCCACTGTGAATTTCAATGTTCCACAAGAAAAAATTGCTTCAATAAAAACATTCCAATTTGAAGATCCTGAGGGATTTGTTTGTTTTCTAATCTGTAGTGTGAGGTCATGAATTATAGGATCACAGAATGTGTAAGCTGGATGGAACCACTGAAGATAAATGTTTGAACAACAGACTCTGAAATAAAATATAAAAGCTAAGATACAAGATATAAAAGTTAAGAACCTCAGAACAGGTTATTAAAACTACAAGTATGAAATATTAGAACACAGAACAGGATGTTATGAGATGGAATGGTAAACTTTAGATCATTGAATGTACAATAGGAGGTGCATTTTGGTACAGTGGCCTTGAACAAACAAATTGCATCATCTCTCAACTAGACTCAGTCTCTCATGTCTGAAACATGTATAATCTCAAAGGGTCATAAGTAATGATTAATATTACTGTATTTTTATAAGATTACTGAAATTATGTATTACCATTTTCTAATGTCCAGACATTACCTTATCAAAGGATCATTTAAAGCAATATTTTAATTGATCTAGTCTCTCTTGTTTTTGTTTTTTAATTTTTCAAGTTAAAAAAGAAAAGTAAAACAATAATGGTTGGGGCAGAAGATTCCCTAATATCTAGTTCCCCGCAGTGATGAAATCATAGATCCACAACCAATCTCCCCTCCAAAAAAAACCCAAAACAAAAACAAACAAAACAAAAAAAACCCAGAAAATACTCCTCATATAGCAATAGCACCACCTGGTGGTCAGAATATGCAAAAGAAAAAGATTAATCAAAACAGCATCCTATGGTTAAAGGCCCACCCACAAAAAATCTGAATGCGAAATTAGATAATGTAATGTTCTTCTAAAGAATCTACTGCTTTAAAAAAAAACCCAACAACGGCCAAGAAGCTATATATAGGGGATATAACTGACCTACTCAAGTGGTCTGTAAACTGGAAATGTTGTTGAATCATGTATCGCCCTATGCCCACAATGGAATATGTAAGAACTGGTTTCAGTAGTTAGGTAAATACAAAGTACTTATATATTTGGGGAGTGTGGGTAGACTATGAAAGTAAATCTTTATTTCATTACTCACTATGATTTCCAATAAAATATAAGATTAATGCTCAATAATCTCATTATGATTTGGAGAAGTCATTTCATCTCTCTAAGCTTAAGTTTTTCAATCTATAAAATGGGTATAATGGTACCTTCACTACACCTATTTTAGAGGCTTGTTATGAATAAAGCATTAAGTAAACTGTAAGATGGAGAAAAGTGACTCATTGTCATTAGTCTTGCTATCAGTGTGCACACATAAAGTGGAGGTAACAGCTGCATTATCTTACAATGTTTGTGTAAGGAAAAAGCTTTTATAAAATATAAAACACTAGGTTAATTGTGAGTGATTATTAACATCAGTCCAATTAGCACTATTCCAAAGCTTAAGAAAATCTGATGTTTTCCTTATATTAACTAAAAAAACCTTTTTTTAAAAATGAGCTCTATCCCACTACTATCCTTCAATTTAAAGGAATCAGAAGAGAAAGAAACAGTACATAAGGCTGAAACTGACAATAGAGAATATATTTTAAGTGAACAGTTTTGAATGCAATTCTAAATTTACTATAAGCACCTTCATTTAAAAATAATTACAAAGATTCATCTGTACAGTATCTAGGGGGTACATCATTCTCCCCACCAAAGAGAGAACAGCTGTCGTATAAAAACCTTATAAGAGGACAGATAACACAATGGGATTGCAGAGTCTCTAAATGGCAATTTCCAAATGACTCGAGGTGGTAGTTTCCTAGGTTCTGTGCTGCCAAGATACCAATCACTAAAATTTTAAGATGCAGAAAACATCCAGTTTTGTAGAACTTACTGAAAAACTAGCTACATATACAGAAACACAAATGTACACACATGTACATACACACACTCACAGTCTGTCTGTATCTGTTTCTGTGTCAATTTACCCCAGAAATTTCAGCAATAAGAGCAAATATTACCACCTATAATTCCATTTTTTTTTAAATTCAGTTAAGAAAAACTCTCTTTAAAATGGACTGCTTTTGTATGAAACAGCAAATTCCTTTATCAGTGGACACTTTCAAGCTGAGACCACTTGTCCTGGATGTTGTTGATGGGACAGGATAGTGTTGGACTAGATAACTTCAAAGGTACTTTCCAGCTCTAAAACTGTATCATTTACCATTCTATATTCTAAACTATTCTAATGATAACATCCTATGTTCCAACATTCTACACCCGAAAGTCCCTGCCAGCTCTAACCAACAAGGTTTTGATTTCAAAGTATGATTTTTTAAAAGCATTTTTTTGGGTAGCAGCCAAAATATAAGTCAAGAAATGTTAGAAGGCTATGAAACAATATAACTGTTCAAGAAAAAGAGAACATCTACTTCAAAGGCCAAAAAGGAAAATAATACCATTCTAAAATATGTGGGAGAAGTTCAACTCACCCATGGTGACGTAAGGCAATTTATCAGTTGATCCATGAGGATAGATGCTGTAGAGGTGAGGTCCAGTAACGTCTACTCCCCCTAAAACCAAGGCTGCACCAATGTAACCTTGATACCTAGAGGAGAGAGTGTACATAAGGAAAAAAATGAAGCCAAAAAAAAAAGTATCATTTAAATAAAGTTTAACCACATAGATGCTGAATGAGATGTCTGCTTTTCTTGATATTGTTTGGTTTTCTTACTTTTTCTAGTTACTTGTTTTGAAAGGGAAACAGCCAGACACTGTCACTAAGCCACCTTTAAAGCTCAAAAATAGAGAGCTGATGAATCCAGATCTATTAACAGCTAGCAAGAGGATCTCAATCAATCAATCAAGAAACATTTTATTAAGTATCTACTATGTGGTAGGTACTGTGCTAAGCACTGGGAATAAAAGAGGCAGAAAACAGTCCCTGCCCTCAAGAAGCTTATGGTCAAATGGGGTAGACACAGAAATATATACAAAGCAAGTTATAGACAGGACAAGAAAAGTAAGAAATAATTAACAGAGGGAAGGCACTGACAAAAACTGTTTTCTTGCTTTTTACCTGGCTCTTTAAAGGTTGGGTTCTCCAAAACTATGCCACAAGAATGAGTCAAATTCCTGGGAACAATTTCAAGGTGCATCCTAAATGATTACTCTCTTCAGACAATGCTAAAATCTTGTATTTACAAACTCTTGTTGTTTCAGTCATGTCTGACTCTTCATGACTCCATTTTTGGGAGGTTTTCTTGGCAAAGACACTGGAGTGTTTTGCCATTTCCTTCTCTAGCTCATTTTACAGACGAGGAACTGAACTGAGGCAAACAGGGCAATTCCCACAGCCAGTCCGTCTAAGGCTGGATCTGAACTCCTGTCGGTAAGACTTCCTGATTCCAAGCCCAGTGCTCTATCCTCTGTACCACCTAGCTGCTTTCCACAAAACCATCATCACATGGTTCAACTGAGAGCAAACAAGGCCTACAGAAGAAACATGGGTTGCACTAGGTCACACAGCTAATGATGGAGTAGATTCAAATCAACATCTCCTAACCATCAGTCCAATGCTCTTTTTCCTTATGCCACAGTGCCTCTCCTCTTCAACCAAGCTGCCAAAACACAAGGACCTACCATGGAGCCTCACTCATTGAAGGCATTGTTGAAGGAACAAAGTAAACTGCCCAAAAGAGATAAATCATATTTTCCCCTATTTATTTGTGAAATAATGTAGAGTCACCAGGATAAAAGGAAAGAGCTAGCCAAACATTGGTATGAATAATCGTGTGATCCTGGATATGTAGCAAATGAATAGCCACACAAGTGACCTTCCCCTGTCCCTTGAGGGACTGACAATGCACTGTTCAATGCACGAGGATGCTATGTAAATGATGCATGTGCTTTATAAGTTAGAACAGGATGTATAAATGCCATGCTTCTGAAATGCAGAGATCATTAACAATACCTCAATGGATCTGTGAACTCTTCAATGCAAGTGTTCCCTCCACTGGTACAAATCACAACCCATCCATGTCTTCTCATCTAGTGTTTTTTTCTTCTACTTTTTTTGTCCATGGGTATGCCACAGAGAATTCACCCAACATAACGAAGGGTTTCCCTAGTGTTCTTTCTTACATTTTGTGAGAACCAGTAGAACATTCAGACTGTCCATCTCTTATCCCTTGCTCTCATCCTTTTCTGAGCATATAAACATTCTTCATCCATTTGGTCTTTACTGTGTAGATAAACAGGCCTAACTGTGTTGTGTGATTATTCATCTCTTCCAGAAGGCTCTGCAACTAGGAGCAATGAATACAATGTTATCCGTAAATAGGATAATCTAGAAGGAATCCCTCTTCGATCTGAACTCTAACCTCCAGATATGCACCACCATAATAGCATGATTTTTGGTGAGCATAAATTTCTATTTATTATGCCTCACCTGATACCTATTATCAGGTTCTTGAACAGGGTCGTTTGTGTTGTGGCAATCTTAAAGATTTAGACACATGGATGGGACACACCTTGTTGTTAAAAAAAAAAAAGAGCCTATAAGGTATCATTTTATTTTACCAAGTTGAATATTTTTTTTCCAAAATTAGCAAACAATCAATTATGAAGTGGTAAAGATTTGATGCACTGTTGAACGGCATATGCAAAAGCCTGGCCTGCTTATACTCAACTACTACCACATCAAAGATGTCCTTAATTTATGTATAAAAAAACCCCATAAAGAGTTTTATAGACAGGAAAGTAGGTATGCAGGTCTATAATTGTTGGTGTTTTCTTGTTTGCTTTTTTGGGTATCAATAATATATGAATTTTTTTCAAGTCATTGGGATCTTTCTTTCCTTTAGATAGCTTGTACACTGTTCACTCACTGCTCTCACAATTTTATCACTTGCAGTATGCATCTCTTCTCTACATGTATGATCCAATCAAAATGCTTTTCCCATCTCTGTGCTCTTTAGTGCCAATCTACTTCCTCTTTAAGTCCCTCAGGAATTATGACGCTGGAATCCAAGTCTTGTGGATCTTGTAATAATTTTTACAAATCTTTTCCATTTTTTTTTGTTTGTAATTCGCTTTCTCATTTTATCTTTAATGTTCTTGGGATGACTGCTCAGCTGAGTATCTTGCCAACTTCCTTCTTCCCAACTGCTCCTCTCCGTTTTATAAAGATGATACTGTTCAAACTATCTATTATTCTTCATGATTTTACAGACAAGTTTATATTCTAATGCAGTGTTGCTTTTGGCAGCCATCTCTCTCCATTTGGTAAGTAAGGCAAATGCTGGCTAACTAGCACTTTCTGGGTTCCTTTGGTCTTCTTGTTGTAGCAATTAATTTACATTGGCTTAACCTCTAGATGAAATTAATATAGATGGGAAAGATATTACTTCTACTGCCCATTTCTATGTTTAACATTTAAAAGTTTAAATAATTCAGGTTTAAATCTTAATTGCATACTGAACCTTTTTCTAATTACTATTTTTTCCTTTGATTTATTATTAATTCTGCTCTTAACTGTGACCAATCAACGGTCTGACTGTGCACAGAAAGCAAGCAGGCATAATTACCGTCTCCATAAGTATCTTCCTGTCTGGTAAAATGTAGCCAATTTTATGTTCTTTATATTATCTTGTTTTTGAAGGTATCATTAGAGTCTGCAAATTTTTTCTTTCTTTTTTTGGTTATCTTTCCTCTTTGAAATATCTTGTGAATCAATCTCTCAATTCCTTCAAGACTGTTCCACTTTCCTTAAGTTTTTACTTGATCTGGTCCACTCATTCTTTTCAATTTTGTCTTCTTAAATGCTACTGCTACTTCTTTATATACTATAGTAGACTAGGATCCAAATATGGTGGTTTCTGTCACTGATTATAAAAATAAGTCATTAATGAAATGCTGATAAATTTGTTCCATTTTAAGTATATCTGCCATCCTTCTAATTTCATCTATGAATGCTCTTAAGATGATCTGGCTCATTTAACTCACATCACACTTTTATACACTAATTTTTACTTCCACTGCTTTTCATTGTTTTATAGACAATATCAGCTCATAATTTTCTACCATGCTACTGTATTGTTTAATAAGTGAGCTTGCATTCCAAACTGACATTACCCTTGATAGCCATCTCTCTTCATTTAGTAAGGAAAGCAAGTATTTGTTGGCTAAGTCAATTTCCAGGCACCTTCGGTCTCCTCACTCTGACAAGAGTTTTACACATTAAGCTTTTGCAGGAAATGGTAATAATGAGGGTCAATATCTTTCCCTTTTTTGCATTTCCAACTTTTCTGCATCAAAGGAGATATCTGAATCAGTCAAATAAAAACTGTTGCAACTTTTCACACTATCTTCTCATATACATTCTTTCTATTTTTAATGGTAATTTTTACCTTTGCTCTTATCAGCTGACAGTTCACCTGGAAAAAAAAAACCCCAGCTGATTCTGATGTCTCCCTTATAATTTTGTTTTCTTCCCAAAAAAAAAGTACTCATGACACATGACACTGAGGCTTTTGAGTAGTTTATATGGCTTTAGCCTCTGTCAATTCTCAAACCTGAGTCATGCTTTGTCATACATTCTTCACCCTTCTCCCCTCTACCCACTCTCACACTGATGCACTGAAGATCCAAACAACCAATGACTCAGTCTGAAAGATCTTGTTAAATTTCTCCTAGAATTTCTCTACCTCTTCATTCTCTAAAACAGATGTTGCCACATCCATAAGAAATAACTAAAGCGACCGATTCAGAAAAACCTTGGAAGATTTGTATGAACTAGCAAAGAGTAAAGTGAGCAAATCAGAGAACAAAAATAGTATTAACAGTTAGCATTTATTAGACCTACTATGTGCCAGGCACTAAACTGAGTGTTTCACAAATATTATCTCATTTGAGGTGTGTGTTTTATGATCCCCCTTATACAGCTGAGGAACCTGAGGCAAACAGAAGCTTAAGTGACTTGCCCAAGGTCACACAAATAATAAATATCTGAGGCCACATTTAAACCTGGATCTTCCTGACCCCAAGCCCAACACTATCCACTGCGCCAAAATCTGCTTCAACATATACAGTGACCATAGCATTGTAAAGAAAAACTTCAAGACTTAAGAACTCTGTCCAGTGTACTGACCCACCCTGATTCCTGAGAATCTAAGAAGATGCTTCCCACCTCTTGACAAAGAAGTTATAGACAAGAGGTGAAGAATGAGACATACATTTTCAGATACAACTCAAAATATGGATTTGTTTAGCTTCACTATGCTTAAGGATTTTCAAGAAATGGGTTTGTTTGCTGGGGAGGAGAGAACTAGTGAAGAGGGTTTACGGAGATTTAGGATAATAAGGCAGAAAAAAGAAGAAGAACATCAATGAGGCTCTTTTAAAAACTGCACAAAACAGGAGTTTCAGTAGGAAACACATATAGCTTTAGAAGTAATATGCTGAATGTATTACATTTTAAAAATACATATACATATACATACGTACACATAAAGTATAGTCCCAGTTTCACATATAATCCTTTTTCTGTTCTTTACATATGAAAACGCTCATATTCATTGGTGTTTGTCAAGTTCAGAGTAACAAAAA